ATGAGGAGAATAAGGGAGAAATAATTTATTCGGAGGAGTCTAGTGATGGTAGCTATGAAGAACCAGTAGTAGGGGATGTGCTTGTATCTAGAAGAGCTTTAAGTACTCTAATTAAAGAGGACCTCGTTGAAGAGCAAAGGGAAACATTGTTTCATACCCGATGTCATGTGAATGGGAAGGCCTGTAGTGTGATAATTGATGGGGGAAGCTGTACTAATGTTATGAGTACATTACTTATCAAACGATTGGGATTGCCTACAACACCACATCCTAGACCAGACAAACTTCAATGGTTGAACAATTGTGGGGAAGTTAGAGTTAATAGACAATGCATTGTTCCATTTCCTATTGGAAGATATAAGGATGATGTTCAATGTGATGTTGCACCCATGCATGCTGGAGAAATTCTTTTGGGAAAATCATGGCAATTCAATAGAAAAACTGTGCATGATGGTTATCTTAATCGATACAAATTCACGAAGAATGGGAGAAAGATAATTCTTCTTCCTTTGTCAACCAATGATGTATTTGAAGAGCAATGTAAGTTAGAGAAAATGAGAGTGGAGGCCGAGGAAATAGTGCAAGAGAGTAAAAATATTTTGAGTGAAAAGAGCAAGAGAGAAAAGAACTTCAAAGAAAAAAATAGTGAGAAAAATAATTGTGGAAAAAAAAAAAGAAAGGAGCTTAGAGAGTGAGAAAGTGCTCAAAGAGATAAAAGTAATAAATGAAAGTTTGATAGCTAGAAAGAGTGAGGTTAGGAAAGCTTTGTTTYCAACAAAACCGATCTTTGTACTTTTGTGCAAAGGACCTTGTTTTCTAACTTATGACTTAGAAACTTCTTTGCCTAGTATTTTTATGAGTTTGTTGCAGGAATTCAAGGACATATTTCCTGAAGAACTACCAAGTGGATTGCAACCACTTAGGGGAATTGATCACCAAATTGATTTCATCCCTGGAGCAGCCATTCCGAATAGGCCAGCTTATCCAGCTAATCCTACTGAGTCAAAAGAGATTCAACAGCAAGTTGATGAGTTGCTTGCCAAAGGATATGTGAGGGAAAGTCTTAGTCCATGTTCAGTACCGGTCATTTTAGTTCTGAAGAAGGATGGTTCTTGGAGAATGTGCGTGGATTGTAGAGCCATCAACAAGATTACGGTAAAGTATCGTCATCCTATACCAAAACTTGATGATATGTTAGATGAATTACATGGGTCTATTTTATTTACTAAAATTGATCTCAAATCTGGATATCATCAAATTATGATGAAAGTTGTTGATGAGTGGAAAACTGCCTTTAAGACCAAACATGGATTGTATGAATGGTTAGTTATGCCTTTTGGTCTTACCAATGCACCTAGTGCGTTTATGCGTCTCATGAATCATGTTTTGCGTGAATTTTTAGGAAAATTTGTGGTAGTTTACTTTGATGATATTCTTGTTTATTCCAAGTCATTAGAAGAGCATGTCGAGCATGTTAGAAAGGTTTTGCTTACATTGAGGGAAGCTCAATTGTTTGCCAATTTGAAAAACTGTTCATTTTGTTTGGATAGGATTAATTTTCTTGGATTCGTTGTTTCTGCAAATGGTGTTGAAGTTGATATGGACAACGTTAAAGCTATTAAGGAATGACCACAACCTAAAAATGCTAGTGAAGTGAGATCATTTCATGGCTTGGCTAGTTTTTATAGGAGGTTCATTAAAGATTTTAGTACCATTGCTGCACCACTTAATGAAATCGTTAAAAATAATGTTCTTTTCAAATGGGGAGAATCTCAAGATGTAATGCCCCGCGTTACTCAGGTTAGCTTGCCTCGAGTTCCGGGAAATTTTTATAACAAAWTAGATTTTTTATTTTTTAATTAATTAATTAATTAATTTCATTTTATTTTATTTGATTCATCAGTTATCTTTATTTAATTTAAGTGTGTCATCTCGGTTATTGTGTATTGCTACAGAATTAGTGGTGAGTTAGTCGCGTGTAGTTATTTATTAAATTATGGTTTAGTACGGATTCCGTTATGTGACACTTGTTTTGGGCCATTGGGCCAATTACGAAATTATATTATTGGCTTGTTTTAACAAGGAGGGGTTGGGTAAATGGGTCTTAAACAAAAGGAAAAGAACCCAAGCCCAAAGAAGTTAAAACTTTAAAACAAATAACCCTAGCTCTTGTTCTTTTTCCTCTTCTTCTTCCCCCCTTTCCCTCTCTT